TATAATTTCGAATTTCTATCTATAAAGATAAAATATTTTGTATAAAATAAAATAAACAAAGCAATAAAAAAATTGGTAAAAAGGGATTATAAGTTGGGTGTTTGATATTGGTTGATGTATAAGAAAAAATTATTTATTAAGAAAGATTGATTTTTAAAATTAATAAAATTTCATTCTCTTAATTTATTTTCTTTTAATTTATAAAAAAATTTAATGAAATTAATATTTGTAACGACCGTCATGACTGTTACACTTCACGACACAATACTAACCACACATATACATATATACTGAAGACAATAATATAATATATGTAACAACATCTCCTGAATATAAATATGTACACAATTATGTTGCTCGTCTAGCAACTACCTACAAGTGTCTACACAAAATGTCTACCCACAACTGAGAGACTACAAAAATAAAATCCAACTCCGAGCATCACCAGCTGCTCTACTGCTACTCTCCAACCTATCCCTGTTTTGCTCTCATACATAGTATGATCATAGCAGTCCAAACCACATGGAAACATGCAAGGGTAAGATAGTGAAAAAAATCATATATTTTAAATAAGTAACTTTCAACATAACAGTACTATCATCATTCTACAACACGTGGCAACACATAGCTCAATCACAACTTCATAACACAACAACATATATACAACTTATATCAATATCAATTCAACTCATCAACAATTTATGCTTCGTCACGCATTTACAACTCAAATATCTCTTACAACATGGGTGAGCAGTCTAAGTGGCTAGGTCCTATCGAACCGACAACACAAAATCTTTTTGAGCTTGTTAGGTAAACAGCAAATTCGGATATCATTCCATAACACGATAACGATTTCTTAGAGTTTACCACTTAAACAAGGAAGTATAGTACTCTGTCAGGATAGGACAATTGGGTTTAGGCCTACCACGACATTAGCTAGCTTAACTAAGCCACCTATAGGATCCTAACTATCTTCCAAATATTACAACCCTCCGATACTCGGTTAGGAACTAAGTTCCCGACTTCGTACTTTACTTGAATTAGCCGCCTGTAATCGGTATAGCTCGACCTGACCCCTATACCGTGATCTCTTTGTACACGTGTGTCTCGACTTTGCCCACACACGGGACCAACTAAGTCCTAGAGGAGAACAACACATCATCCACTCCAATAGGCAACTTCCCAAGGAGTGTTTTCAACAAATTGGACTCTTAGAACACCACAACTATCTCAATCCACACAATGAGATGAACAACTTCAAAAACATCTCCTCTAGTCCTAGTGATCAACAATCATCACAACTCAATCAACTTACAACAGAAGAGTACAACTCAGCTCAACAACTTAAATAACCCACAACTTTTCAACTCATCATCTAAATCAACTTCCAACTTAAACAACGTAGTTAACTCACAACTTTTAATATCACAACGACTCCTCAACAATGTTTAGCAAGGTGACTTTAGCAACAAAGCAACTCATTCAAATCATACATACGACATTTCTACACAAATACACAACTATATCTTTTCATCATACCACAACATTCAACATTTCTTAATCATAAAACCAAACACATTCATGCCTGGCGCAAGTAAACTCGCACCCGGCCTGAACCCAACCCGAGAGTTCTCAAACTCTTTCACGCCTGGCGTAATACCACCACGCCTGATGCACTTGAAGGCAGAGACTCCCAGGAGTCTCCCATGCCCGACACGCCCAACTCGTGCCCGACGTAAAATCAGGTAGAGACCTTACAAGGGTCTCGTGCCCGACACACTCCTTTGCGCCCGGCGTCACCCTTGTCAGAGACCCCCAAGGAGTCTCTACGCCTGGCGTGCTCAAAGCACGCCCGGGGCCATATCAGTAACCAAAAACATCTGATATCGCGCCTGACGTGGTTCTCTCCATGCCCGACGTGATTCATCCAGAGGCTTTTATTCCTAATCTCGCCCGGCGCGACCAACCTCGCGCCCGGTGTGATTGGACAATGGAGTTCCCTAATGAACGTACGCCCGACGCCAAGAGTTGTGCCCGACGTGAACTCAAACAGCAACCCTCACAACTTCAAAAATTTCAACCAAAAACCTGAAAATCAGCCAACTCGAACACATGCAATCCATGAAATGACATATATTTACTTCATACAACTAAAAAACAAGCTTAATTTCAACAAGCAATCATCAAATGCATCAAAATCATCAAAATCCTAATTTTCTCGAAACCCCGAAAATGAGAAATTCTTGAAATAAAACAATGATTCTCAATATTCTTACTCCAAATGAGTTCCTAAACTCACATACAACCAATAAGTTTACAATCTAATTTCTCTCACCTGAAAATTGACTCAAAACGGCCAAGGAAAATAAGAAGAGGAAGATTTTCTTCCAAGTCCACGGGCTTCAATTCTTTAGAACAAGCTTCTCCGCCTGAATTTCAAGAAAGAAAAAAGGAATTAGTGATTTAGGGGAGAAGAAAAATCAATTAGACAAGTTTGGGAGAGAAATGAGCTCACGGATCAGAGTCATTCTCTCTAAAACCTCTCTCTAGTTTTATTTGAGAATGAACTTATGAGGCTCTGTTATCAAAGAAAGCCTTAAATACTCTTGTGTCTAGCATTCACTAACCTTGAACCAACCTACCACGTCACAATATTTAGAGGGAGTCTTATAAAAAATTACATTTTTAAATTATTCCTTGGCGTAAAAAAAAGTATAAAAAATTTATTCATGTAAAAAAAGTATATAAAAATTATTAAAGTTAATTTTGTCTCTTTTAACAACACTTGTATAGATAGTAAATGATTAAATTCTGATTAACATGTAACAAAACTATAATTATTAATTGTATCAAATTTTATTTATTATTTATTTAATTTAATAAAAAGTATATCTCTTTTTTATTAAATTTTTTAAAAATAAAATAGTATATCTGATAAATAAATACTTTGAAGCCGATCTAATTTAAATGTTCATTTTTGTTTTTTCTAGTCAAGGGATTCAAACTCCCACCGCAAATGAAATTTGTTCACCGTCAAGCGTGCTGCACTTCCTATTTAAAATGTGGTTGGTTTGTTATTTGGAAAGCGTGTATTATTCAAATGAAAAATAAATAAACAAAGTAAACAAAACAGAACAACTCCTCTGTTTAATAATTATTTAATGTGAATGGAAGAAATTATTGATTGGTCATTTTTTTCTGAAGAAAAAAGGTTCCGCCGGTTAATGTCAACCGTTGAATGGCGTGAAAAAATCGGAAGAAATATTTAGTTATACGCCAAGGAATTGCTGATTTCTTATTTAATTAAATAAAAAACGCCTCACATATTTGAGACAAAATAATTAATTGCTGAGTTCTAGTTACGTACTATCTTATTTAGTTGAAACTAATTTTGTGTTTAAAATTGAGATAATTTAGTAGCAGTACATTTCAAGGGAAGGGGGAAAAAACCTCAAGCCTAAAGGGTACGGTAAAATAACTAAAAACCTCATAAAACAATATTTTAGATATTTGTCATAGCATACTTATGAATTCTGTTCAAATAAGATTTCATTGGTAACATTTTGTTTCCTTTTGAGAATATTAAAACGAAGATGAAATTGATTGGTTTTGAAAAGTTTTGAAATTCATTTAAGTTAAAATTATGAAATAAAAAATACTATAATTTTTAGGGACAAAATACTTTTTTTGGTAAATTATTATCACTCGATTAAACGTTTCATTTTCATAAGAGTAATGGCAAGTTTTCTTACAAATCTTTCTATACATCTTTATGCTTTTGTAAATAAAATATTAAACGAAATAAAAAAATATGAAAAAATAAAATGCTTTAATCTTATTAGTTTAAAAAGGAGAATTTACAAAAAAAAAAACGATAATTTAAAATCATTCTTTATTTAAATTATATCGAGTATAAATTACAAACATGTGAAATTGTGAATCAAGAAGCTAAAGTCATCCTTACTTTACGCGGTTTCAAATTCAAATATTTAACATCGAACTGTATTGAATACTACACATAAAGAATTTTGCCACTTATACCTTACTTAATCATAATTTCTTTTGGTTTACCAACAAAATTTAACTAAATAGCATATGATTTTTACGAAATTATCACCCCACCTTTTCTTCAGACATATTTTATTGAAAATATTTGGCAACACATTATATTAAAGTTAAATTACTTAATTGGTCTTTAAAATGTTTTAAAAAATTAATTAAACGAATTACAATGTGAACAACAATATATTTAAAAGATGATGTAATTAGTATTCAATATCTTACTGATTCTAATGATTTATTTATAACTTAATTAAAGAAATAGTTTAGGAAATCACAGCAAAAGTTAAATAATTTTTTTTATCATTAAAATGGTAGAGAGAAGTGAGAAAAGTTAAAATAATTATATTTATCATTTAAAAAAAATTAAAAATCATTAAATATTTTGTTATTAATAAAAATCAAGCTTAATAAAAAATAATGATATTATTCGTACTCTTTAACACACAATAAATGTTTTAGTGGTACTCGACAAGAGGTACCCTAGGATTAATTGGAAAATTTATTAAAAAGGTTAATAATAAAATAAAATAAAATAAAATTGGTTGGGGGTAAGAATTGAATGCGAGAGGCAAGTGGCCCGTGGCCCCATTAATTAGCTCCTGAGTAAAGAGTGCAATGGGCGGTGTGAGTGTGTGACCGTTACTCTTACGCGCAGGCGCGTGTTTGGGCCCCGACTTTCCTTACACCCCAGCCCAACACAATTTGACAAGCAAGAGAGAGACATGTGCGATTTGCTCCAACATGGGCCCCACCACAAAGATCTTTCCCTTCTTCACTTCCAACCCTCACATTCCCTTCAAACCACAAAACTGCCACAACCAAATGATGTCATAACCCGCTTTTCCAGTTTTGCATGGCACTCGCGTAATTTCGAGTGCCCCTCCAATAATGCAAAATTTAAATTAATTATTTTTGAAAAGTAAGATGCAGGTCTTTTGAGCCAGTGGGTTCTTCACCAGGACGGGTTCATGTAAGTTGTAACCTGCCGTTGTTTATAGCCCTCTTGGCCTCTCGTTTCCGCATTCAACGAACGAAACAAAAACCTTCACCTACCACTTTATAAAACCCGTTTCTCTTCTTCTCTTCTCTTCTCATTTCCCCCTTCACTCTTTTGTGCCCTCCACAAGACACACATTTCGTTTCACTCATGGCCGGTGATACCAAGAGACATTGTTTCTCTCCAGAGGACGATGCTCTCGCTTCTTTCGCTGACGTGGACCTTGGCTATTCCCACTTCCATTACCAACAACAACACGCTTTCGTTTCAAGAACATTGGGTTACGGCACTTTCTACCACCGAGGACTCAGAACCCATTCAATCTTTTCGCCAAGATCTGCCAGATTCCAAGATCACAATCACAAACCCCACTTTCTTGATTCTTGTTTTCGTTGCAAGAAGCCGCTCGGGGGTAACAGAGACATCTTCATGTACAGGTTCGTTAGCTACCCTAAATCTTTCATCTTACACTTTCAATTACTAAATGAGATTCCTTAACCCAAACCCTTTCAAAAACAAATTTAATTTTTCAACTTTTGTTAATTCTGATTATCATTGTTAAATCTAACCTCCCCTTTATCTCTCCACATTGTTTTAATATATCAAGATTCAATTCAATTCAATATGATATGCCCTTGGGCCTTTCTTTGTATATTTTTACTACGATCTGCTAAAAGTAAAGATTTTTCCTTTATTGAATTTTCTTGATTGGGTTGGTTATGAATTTATGATTCTTTTGAATTGTGCATTTTTTTTTTTAATTAGATCTCTCTATGTATGTATGTATGTGTATCTGATTGAGGTGTTAATTGTTATGCTTATGTTGCACAGAGGGGATACGCCTTTTTGTAGCGAAGAGTGTAGACAAGAGCAAATAGAAAGAGACGAAGCCAAGGAGAAGAACAAGAACCTTTCTTCTTCCATGAAGGCTTTAAGAAAAAAGGAACAGAGAAAATCGGTCTCCCCAAACAAGACCCAGAATTACTCGTTTCATACAGGGACGGTTGCTGCCGCCTAGTTGAAACATGTATGGTAATAGGCTATTAAGAGAAAAGAAAAAACAGTTTAACCGCTACGGCTTTCTCGAAAAAGAAAGGGAAAAAGAAAAAAGAGAAAAACAAAATGAACAAAACAAAGTAGAAGTGAAGTTTCAAGTTTACTTTCTTCCCACAAGGAAGGGTCAAGAGAGAAGAGATCTTCAGAAAAAAGAATTTTTGTTCATGAAGCTGTATATGGTAATACGTGTAGAGAAGAAGTTCGTTGCGTGTGGGATCCTCTCTCCCAAATGGCTCATTTTTTTCCTTTTTTTTCTCTTTGTTTTTCTTTTTTAAATATATATAACGTTTTAGTTATATGTTGTTGTGGTGTTTGATAGTTTCAAAGTTTTAACAAAGAAACTGAATACTCACTGAATTGCTATTTCTTTCACTTGGTATCATTTTTTTAGCCTTTTATGTAACAATAACATTATTGAATCTAGAAGAAGAAAGAAAAGGGTACATGGACGGCCTTTTATATGCCATGACTGTGGCCTGCAGTAGCGGGACGGGAAATACTATGCTGCTAAGAAACTGGGAAATTGAGGTGTGAAAGTGAAACAAACTTAATAGAGAAGAAATAGAAAATAAAAAATACTAAAAATTTTCTACATTCGTTTAATTTTTCATTTATTAATTGACAATTAAGCTTCTAACTGTAATAATATGTATAATTGAATTTCTGTTTTATGGTGGTGAGAACATTGAAACCTAGAAAGATTATAATAATAATAATAAAGATCAAAGTTAAAATTCAATAAAGACCAAAACTACAATTTTTATATATATTTGATTCTTGACTAAGAAAAAAATTATTGCTTACATTTTATTTGAGATTCTAGAATTTTTATAAGATTAAAAAATGTAATTAATAATGTTTTTGCCGTTTCATTATATATGTATATTTTTATATTATATGATTAGTAACTATTTTTTTTATTCAAAACTAGTCCATCTTATCTTTTAACTTGCAATAATTCACATTTTCAATTAAATTATTTTAAATAATCTTTTATTAAATCTTGTCGGTCAAAATATAATATTTTTAAATTAATTTTTTTATGGTCCTTTAAACTTTAATTACAATCTTTTAAATTTGATTTACTGTTCAACTTATAGACCTTTTAAATCACTTTTTTTTCTCCCAAGTTTATTCTAACTTCTAATATTTGTGAGGAAAGTAAATATTTAAGAGTTTTACGTTTTTTCTGTAAACAGAAAGTGATAAAAAAAAGACTTAATTAAAATAAATAAAAAATAAATTAGAATAAAATCTGAGTAAAAGACTGAAATCACACATCATCTGCACTACATGTTTATTACATTGGTTCTGTCCTTTAAAAAGTGTTCCTAATTAAAATTTCAAAAACTCTTATAAACTGTGTTGTTAATAATATCGTGAATGATAAAATTAGAAATTAAAATTGAAAATTTGAAATTCTCATATACCGGAATTTTAAAATTAAAGTAAAAAGTAGAGGTTAAAAAGCGAAAAATTATTACTTTACAAGAATAAAAATGAAAATGGTTGACTCTATCACATGCCCCTTCTCCCATTGGGACGGAAGGAATATTAAGTATTCAATATACAAATTAATTAAATTAATATTTAATATACATAAGTGCACAGTTTAGAAGTTTCGTGAGATTTTCCTGCTACACAATGAATAAAAAAAATAGAAGCTTTTGTGTGATACTAATATATATATATTTTTCTGTGTGTGATACTAATATAGAGACCGTTGCATTGATTCATTTTTTTTTTTCCATAGTACATGAGAGAAAAAAAAGAACAATAGGAAAAATGATAACTCACTGGGAGTAGTAGGAGTGAAGATAAGATAACTAACTACTCGTGACAAACTATACGAAGAAATTAGAATCATATATAGCTTCACGAAAAAAAAATAAATCAGTTTTTAGAGAATCTCTTCTCTCTCGATCCTTCTTTGTGGAAAGAAAGTAAGTAAACTTGAAACTTCACTTATACTTTCGTTGTTCATTTTTTTCTTCCCCTTTCTTTATCGAGAACGTTGTGGCGGTTAAATTGTTTTTTTTTTTCTTTTCTATTAAAGCCTATTACCATACAAGGTTCAACTAAGTGCAGCAACAGTCACTGTACGAAAGGAGTAATTATGGGTCTTGTTTTGGGGAGAGAACTATTTTCTTTGCTCCTCAAAGCCTTCATGGAAGAAGCTTGGTTCTTATTCTTCTTGGTTTTCGTCTCTCTCTATTTGCTCTTGCGGTCTTGCCTACATTCTTCGCTACAAAAGGCGTATTGCCTATGCTATATAACCATAACAATTGACACCCCCATCAAAGATAGAGATACACACATCTAATCAAATTCACAATGAAAGTGCACAATTCAAAAGAATCATAACCAATCCAATCAACAAAAATTATGAAGGAAAAAAAAAAGGAAAAATCTTCACTCAGTAGATAGTAATAAACTAAAAAAAGAAAAACGATCTTGGATTCAATATTAAATCTGAATATTAAAACAACGTGGAGAGGTAAGTGTGAAAAATCATGGTATAGTATGTAGATTAAGAACCACAAAAGAAAGAATTCTGAAGAGAACTAAGGAAATTTCTTATTGCAGAAAAACAGAGAAAGAAGATTACAAAAGTCACTAAATAAAAATACAAGGCTGAGTATTTATAGAAAAAAAAACAATGATAACAACTAACTAATTGTAATTAATTAAACTAATTGAGAAAGATAAAATAAACTAACTAACAGTAAACTGTTGTTTACATTATATTTTGTAACATGCCCCCTCAAGGTGGAATGTATATATCATACATTCCAAGCTTGGAAATAAGAACTTGGAAGGGACCAGAGGCTAAGGGTTTTGTCAAGACATCAGCAACTTGTTCCTTTGAGGTGATAGGCATCAAATGAAGAAAGCCTGATTCAAATTTTTCTCTGACAGTATGACAATCTATTTCTATATGTTTGGTTCTTTCGTGAAAAACAGGATTTGCAGCTATGTACCTTGCCGATTGATTATCACAAAACAATATCACTGGTAATGTTGATGAAATACCAAAATCCTATAAAAGATAGACTATCCATTGAGATTCACATGTTGCTAAAGCCATAGCTCTATACTCTGCTTCTGAGGAAGATCTGGATACAACGGATTGTTTCTTACTCTTCCAGGATATCAAAGATTGTCCTAAAAAGAAGCAGAAACCAGAAGTGGACCTTCGAGAATCAATACAAGTACTCCAATCTGAATCTGTGTAACCTGTAAGTTTCAGATCTGATGCGACTGGAAAGAAGAGACCTTTCCCTGGTGCATTTTTAATATATTTCAACACCCTAAGGGCAGCTTGATAGTGAGCAACAGTAGGACAATCAAGTGACTGACTTAGCTTACCAACTGCATAGGATATGTCTGGCCTAGTATTGGTTAGATAAATCAATCTTCCAAGTAATCTTCTATACTTCGTAACATCTTCAAACATAGGTCCAGAAGCTTTATGAAGATGATTAGTGTGATCCATTGGTGTAGAACAAGGTTTTGAAGCCAATAAACCAGTGTCTTGAAGCAAATCTAATGCATACTTTCTTTGATTGAGACAAATACCTTTAGCAGACCTTGCTACTTCTAAACCCAAGAAAAATTTGAGTTGTCCAAGATCTTTAATCCCAAACTCTTTATGAAGAATTTGTTTGACATTGTTGATCTCATCTAAATCCTCACCAGCAAGAACTAAATCATCAACATATGTGAGAATAACTGTGAGGCCTTTAGATGATTTCTTTGTGAATAATGAATAATCAGCTTTGGATTTAGAATAGTCCAATGAAATTAGAACCTCTGTCAACCTAGCATTCCACTGTCTACTAGCCTGTCGAAGTCCATAAATTGACTTAGTAAGTTTGCAAACTAGCTTCTCATCTTGTAATTCAAGACCTGGTGGGGGCTCCATATATACTTCCTCATTAAGATGACCATGTAAGAAGGCAGTATTTACATCCAATTGATGTAAGTGCCAATTAGAAGCAGATGCTATTGAAAGTAATAGTCTGATGGTTGTCATCTTCACTACAGGACTAAATGTCTCCATGAAATCTATTCCTTCAGTTTGTGTGAAGCCCTTAGCTACCAATCTAGCCTTATGCCTTTCAATGGATCCATCTGAATAATGTTTTACCTTGAAAACCCACTTACATTTAATAAGCTTTTTTCCAGGAGGAAGAGAGGTTAAAATCCAAGTCTGATTTTTATCCAAAGCCTGCAGTTCATCATTAATAGCATTTCTCCAACAACTATGTTGAACAGCCTCCTCAAAAGTTTTTGGTTCAGATATAGAAGAAATAGAAAAAATGTATTGTTTATGTGAAGAAGACAAATTGTTATAGGAAAGGCATGAAGAAATGGGATACCTGACAGTTGGATGGTTTGATGAGCTGCCTGTTGTGGCCAATGTACAATGATAATCTTTCAAATAAGAGGGAGGTCTTCTCTCCCTCTGAGAATGTCTCACAGCAGTATAATGATTATTATCAACTTGTTGTACTTGATTGTTATTATTTAAACCATCAATGTGTGTAAGGGCAGGTTCATTAGTATGAAACACATTTTCATTATCTAAATGAAAAAGATCATTTGCAAAGAAACTTTGTTGTATTGAAGGAACCTGAGTTTGATGTTCATTGTCTTTAGATTGCTGATTATGCTTCTCTAACATAGGAAAATTCTGTTCATAAAACAAAACATCCCTAGAGATGAAAATCTCTCTTGTTTTAAGATCATAAAGAACACAACCCTTTGTGCCATCTTTATATCCTAGAAATATACATTTTCTAGCTCTTTCATCAAGTTTGGTTCTGTTAGAATGGATAGTAGAAGCAAAACACAAACAACCAAAGGTTTTCAAGTAAGAAATATCAGGAAGTTTATCATGTAGAATTTGATAAGGTGATTTTCCTTTTAGAAATCTGGTAGGTAACCTATTTATGAGAAAAACAGCATGATTAACAGCATGATTCCAAAAAGATTTAGGTATGCCAGATTGAAATATAAGAGCTCTAGCAATACCTAAAATATGTTGGTGTTTTCTTTCCACAATGCCATTTTGTTGAGGTGTCTCAACGCATGAGGTTTGGTGCAAAATACCTTTATCTTTAAACCATTCATGCATGTTAAATTCCCTACCGTTATCAGTTCTGATTATTTTAATTTTCTTATTGAATTGAGTTTGAGTTTGAGCAACAAAGGCTTGAATCAAAGAGGCTGTTTCACTTTTTTGTTTCATAAAGTAAATCCAAGTATGTCTAGCATTATTTTCTACTATGGTTAAAAAATACTTATGACCAAAAATTGAAGGAATGGATAAAGGACCCCAAATATCTATATGTATCAAATCAAAGACATTGTCACAAGTATTACTACTGTAAGCAAAAGGAAGCCTTTTTTGTTTAGCTAAATGACACACTTCACAAGGAACTTTGTCTTTATTAAATTTCACAAAAGGGTACATAGTTTGTATATTTCCGAGTTTCTCATGAGAGGGATGACCTAGTCTCAAATGCCATACATCATTATTGTGACTGTAAAAATTGTTTACACTTTTCTCAAAAATCTCTGGTTGCATTGACGGATTCATTGTATATAAACCATTTTGCAAGTCAGCTGCACCAATCATCCTCAAAGAATTGATTTCCTGAATTTGACAAATAGAATTAGAGAAAATGAATTTTCATGATAATGCTTTAGTTATCTTGGATACTGAAACCAAATTGAGTTTGAAATTGGGAATGAAAAGGACATCTGTCAGGTAAAAGTCTTTGGAAAAGAAAACAGTTCCAGATATAGATGTAGTAACTTCACTTCCATCAGGTAGTTTTATATGAATGGGTTTAATTTTTCTGTATGTTTGAAATTGAGTAATCGAATTACACACATGATCGGTAGCTCCTGTATCAATGATCCAAGAGTCGGAATTCAAAGAATTGAAAATATTGCAAACAATACCTGATGGTTTTGAACCAAGATCTTGTGCAGTGGAGGTAAATTGATTAATGGTGTGATTGTTCTGAATTCCAGGTTGTTGAATAAGTGCCAATAAGGCCTTATGCTGGTCAGGAGTAAATTCCAAACTTGAACCTTCTCCCATCTCCCTTTGAGACATCATGTTTTGTCTGTCATCAGCATCATCATCATGCTCAGCCACATAATTGTTGATTGCATAATTATTCTTGAGATGTGGAGGATAACCATGTTTTTTATAGCATGTATCCACAGTGTGTCCATTTTTCCCACAGAAGGAACATACTTTTTGATTCTTTCCTCCTTGGCCCCTACCTCGGCCTCTGCCTGCTGATTGAAAATTATTATCTTTGAAATTCCTTTCTTTGAAGTTGCCTCTGCCATTTGTTCCACTATATGCAGTCAAAACATGTTGACCACCATTAATGATATTCACCTGTCTTTCTTGTTGAACAAGAAGAGAGAAAACCTTACTCATTGTCGGTAATGGATCCATGAGCATGATCTGCGACCTCACAACAGAATATTGCTCATTAAGACCCTTCAAAAATCTTATCACGTAATCTCCTTCTATGTAGGCTTTCATGGTTGGTATTAATTTGCAGTTACATTGATTGGCACAAGTACAACTCGGGATTGGTCTGAAATTTTCCAATTCCTGCCATAATCCCTTTAGTTGAGTAAAATATGCAGTGACTGACAATTCTCCTTGTCTTAAGGCATATACTGCTTCTTGTAATTCTGATATTCTGAATACATCACCTTGATAATACCTATCTCGTAGATCGTCCCATAAATCCTTTGCTATATCAATCCAAAGAACACTCTGAATGATTTCTGGGTCAAGAGAGTTTATGATCCATGATAACACCATATTGTTGCATTTCTTCCATGCAGGTAGCAATGCATCACCAACATCTGGTTTTGACAAAGAACCATCGATAAACTCCATCTTGTTCTTTGATGTTAGAGCCATTGTCATGGCCCGTGACCAAGCATGATAATTGTTCCCTTTCAGAACAATTGGAACAATAGAAATAATTGCATTATCACCATTAGGAACATGATAAGGATTCAACGGATCCATGAGTGGGTTAAGATTTGCCATCGACGAAAAAAAAAAAAAACTTCAAAGAACTCACCAGGTCTTGAAAAAAAAATGATAAAAGAATATCAAGCAGAATAATTGATCAAGAACCGCAAATAATCCTGATGAACGAAAAACGGTTATCATCTATATTCTAATCAGAGTACGAAACGCAGCAGAGCCCCTCGGAAAGGGGCTCTGATACCATGTGAAAAATCATGGTATAGTATGTAGATTAAGAACCACAAAAGAAAGAATTCTGAAGAGAACTAAGGAAATTTCTTATTGCAGAAAAACAGAGAAAGAAGATTACAAAAGTCACTAAATAAAAATACAAGGCTGAGTATTTATATAAAAAAAAACAATGATAACAACTAACTAATTGTAATTAATTAAATTAATTGAGAAAGATAAAATAAACTAACTAACAGTAAACTGTTGTTTACATTATATTTTGTAACAGTAAGGGGAGGTTAGATTTAAGAATCATAATTAGAATCGATAGAAAGTTGAAAATTTTCAATTTTTTTAAAAAGGGTGTTGGATCAAGGAATGTCATCTACTAATATTGAAGGTCTAAGAACAAAGATTTTGGGCAGCTACCAAACTTGTACTTGAAGATGTCTTTATTACTCTCGAGTGGCTTCTAGTAACAAAAACATGAATCAAGAAAGTGGGTTTGTGATCTTCGATTCTGACGTCCTAAAATTTCTGCTATATTATCTTGCCATATGTATGAACTGAATTGCATGTAATGAAATAATTAAGTGTTTTTAGAAACCTTTATGCGTTTGAAGGAGTTCAAAACACTTTGAAAGACTGTTAGTTATTTAGTTTTATTGTTAAGTGTTATGATTGAATTACAGCATGAGTGTTTGATGTAATTGGATGATTTGTTGGAGTTGTAATTTTGGTTGATGAGTATGCTAGTGTTAATATGGTGGACACTTTTAATTGGTAACTCCTTGTGATAATAATTGAGTAATGTGTAAATGTTAGTGTTTTTTTGATTTTATTTCAAACAGATAATCGTTAATTAAACTCGATAATTTTTTTAAAAGTCAATTCAAAAATTTTTACTTTGTCAATCAATAAAAAAATCATCATTCATATGATTATTAAAATAATTATTGCATAAATTAATAAACGTATAAAAATGATAATTTGTAATTAGATGATGGTATAAGATTATTTTATATTATTAGTGTATAATTTTTTAAAATTATAATATGCTTGACTTATAGGCATTTTAAGTGTAAAAATCAATAAATTATTATACCTGACAAATTTTAACAGAATGATCATATAATTTTTTTTACGCTAGTGATCCATAGAATTATTTTACTTTCTAAACTATGCTTGATGGATTAAATCAAAATTATTTAGAAATAGACTATAGTTATGCTAAACTTTTGTAAATAATTATTATTAAACACATAAATCAATGATGAAAGTGATTTTATCTTAATTCATAATCACATATTCAAAATTTTAAGAACATAATTGCATAATTTTTTTTTGAAAGGAGAACTTTATAAAGATGTTATAGTCTATAACTTGATCTAAATCAATTGAATATGCAATGCGGTGTTTTAATGTTGGTAATGTTGGAAAGTGTTATATTAATTAATTAATAGCATCACAACAAATTGTGTAAACAAGTTTTTAAGTTAAGTATTTGTAAACTACGTTTTGAAGCATAAAACGTTAATGTAATGTTTAGAGATATGAGTTGATATAATTAGTTTTGAATAACATAAATTTGTAAAATTAATTTCGAGTAAATGAGAATAAAAAATAACATATGAATTTTGTTTGAATCATAAGAGATATGAATTTGTCAACTTAATTTTCATATCGAATATTACTTAAAAATTTGTTATTAAAATTAATTTTATTTAATGAAAAAATTATTTTAAAATTGATTTTATTTAATAAAAAATTACTAATAATTATTTTTAAGATGTAAGTTTTCACATTTAAAAATCAATTTTATTAATAATCATACACGTGATGATGTTAATTTGAAATGTAATAGAATTGATTTCAACATTAAAGTATTATTAAAATCGATTCAACATTATTAAAATAGCAAGCGAAATCTAGGTATATACTAAGTTTTTCATTATTCACTACATGCATGTTGTATTTAATTGTGAAATCGTGGCAGCATGGGAGATCAGGCCACGATTTCATTTAATTGCATACTTGAAGGGCAGGTATGTCACACGGAACGGCAACCACATTCAGATATTGGCAAATATTTTAACCATTTCCGGTGCGGTTTGTCTACACTCTACAATATTAAGCCACGTAAGTGTACACGTGACCTCACGTGATCTGTTTTGTAAATGGTCAACTCTTTTGTTTGAATAGTAGAAGGAGTACCATATTTTTACACGCTCATTTTATGCCATGTATACTTGTCATTGCACCTTCCAGAGCAAGGATAGTAGTAGTGACGTTTTGCCATTTCATTTTATAATTTATCATTTTATTATATATATATTTTGGGGCCAAAGCGAAAACAACGTGACCTTCAAGTTCCGAATCACTCATTCCGTGAGCAGTTTTTCCATCCCTCACATCTTATTATCACCGTCGTTTTCGTTTTGTAACCGCTGCGATCACCGTCGCGCGGGGTATATGATCACTCCGGAACAAGATGCTGGAGGATCAGGTGGCGTACCTCTTGCAGAGGTACCTTGGCAATTATGTGAGAGGTCTCAGCAAAGAAGCTCTCAAAATCAGTGTCTGGAAAGGTTCTCAAAATCCTAACTAACTACTCTTCTTAATTACTTTTTCTAGTTTCTATTAATTTCTGAAATGTTTAACTGTTTCCTATTTTTCACTCGATTGCTGAGTTGAGATTAGAGTAAGCCTACGAGTTTGCTTCTCAAATGTAGTTAGTAGTTGATGTTGAGTTCGGGCGTTTATATTTGTCGAATTGAGTTTCTAGTGTTCTACCTGTTGATTGTGCCGAAGTGACTGTGCGCGAGTGATTCGACTAGCAATTTGCGTTTGGAACTGTTGTTTTTGAAGATTGTGAAATTTCTGCATCGTTCCACTCGGTGTAGTTATTAATTTCGGGCGTTTATATTTATCGAATTGAAATTCAAGTGTTACAATCTGTTGACTGTGCCATAGCAACCGTACTAGCAATAGTGCATGAGTGATTCGAGTTGCTAATTGTGTTTGAAACTGATGTTTTTGGTGATTGTGAAAATTTGTCCTAGTTCGTATAAATGTAGTTTTGAATGAGAGAGGAGAAGGGATTAGATAATGATTTTGCTAGTGCTACACCCACAATTGGCATTTGCCTTGGCTATATTGGATGTCTACTTGTTTTTTTTCTTCTTTTTTTCTTTTATTTCCTCTTTCTCAAGATATGTTGAGGAATGCAATGCATAATTTGTTCTAGCTGTCGTCCTGATTTAGTGGTGTGTTATTCCGAGGTCTATGTGCATTTGTGGGCGAGGTCCATCTGTCTAATACATATATGTATCTTAGTTACTCATCATAATTGAAAGATTTTGGGTAGGTTTGGGAGCGCGGTTATGGAGGGGAAGGAAAGAGAACAATTTTCTTATTTTTTAATGAAGAGAATCATACAATATTTACAAAAATAAAAAAAAATTAGCACATCCACCAATTTATGCTAATGCATCATTTTGTTTTTTTCATTTTAAAAAAAAATCAATTTAGAGAATATTTATTTGACGTATAAAAATTGTTCTCTCTTCCCATTCCCTCCTACATTCAACACCCAAACATACCCTTACTGAGTTAATGGATGTACATTTGTGTGCTTTTTATCTCTCATGTAATTTTTCTTAATATAACTCTAATCTTTTTCTTTCCTGAAACTGAAATATGAAACAGGTGATGTAGAGCTGAAGAATATGCAGCTGAAGCCTGAGGCTTTAAATGCATTAAAACTTCCGGTGAAGGTTAAGGCAGGTTTTCTTGGATCAGTGAAACTTCAGGTTGGTTGGCGGGAGATTAACTCTTTTTTTTCTCAGAACTTATGAATATAATATGTTGTGTGTGGTGTGTTATATATATATATATATATTGATATTGCTGCATGCAAGTAAAGTACATATGTTTGTATGCATGCATTGGGCGAGAGGAAATGCTCTTTTGATTATTCAATCTTTGCGTGGATGGCCAAGATTTATTTTTACTTTAATCTAATCTTGATTCTTGAGTACTGATGTAAGATAGAATGGGCAACATTAACTCCTCTAAGTCTTCTTTCCCTCTACTACAAATCTCTTTGGTCAAGGATGGACATAAAGGAAAAAAAGAGATGGGTTGAAAGAAACAGCAATAAAAGATCAAGAGCTTAGTCGAAGAAATTGGAAGTTTGAACCTTGTTCATGTTTGTTAAGAAATGAAAAGTTGAGATAGCTTTAATTTACACAATAAAGTAGCACTTTAAAAGTATTATATTTCAATTATTTTTCCTGTGTACTTTGTCTTTTGCCAACTTTATTCTCCCATTTGTGTGATTAAGTTGTGGTTAAACCAACTATTTTACTTCCCATTTTTCTAATTTTTATTATATTTTCTGGTTTCTGGTTTTCATAGTTGTTTTTTCATTTTAAGGATAAAGTCATGTTAAGTGGGCGAGGGACTGTGGGGGTTATTTCAGAAGCATGGCCATTGTATGTATGGAATGATTTTTCGTATTTGCATTCTTTGTTTTATTGTTTTATGAGCATATTGTAATTGCTAATGATGTAAGAGCTAGTTTCTCTTCTATTATCTATTGGTTGTAGATGGACAGAGATTGCAGGCCTTTGGGGTTGTTATGGTTTTTGGTAGAAGTTCATTATTGAAATAGCTCCTTTTTTAGTGTGTAATGAGAATGCTATTTTTATAATTCAGGATGAAATATCTAGGTTATTTTATGATACCTGTCTATACATTGTAGGATAAGGTGCTTTGAAATAAGGTTATTGCATGTGCTGGATGAGTCTTGGCTTGGGCAAGCTATTTGAGTTGGGAAAGTTTCTTTTGGTTCTTGTTAAATTTTTTTAGAAGAATGAGGCCATTTTTGTGGCATTGTGCTGATTTGTTCTTTGCCATGTTATTGTGTTTAAGACTTTGATTAAAGCGGAATGCCCCCATTATAAGGGTTTTGCTCAAAGACTGGTTCTGGGTTGGGTCTCAGTTTCTGTCATATTTTTGGTGCTCTCTGCATAAGTGTTTCAAGGGAGTATCGGTATCCATTTCAGAAATGTAGATTAACTTGGCTACCTTGCTGGATTCTTGACTTTTTCATTTTCTTTTTTTTTGGAGGATAACTTATCATCCACTTGTTTATTTTTTATCTTAAGATAAAGTATATTTTTTCATATAAAGCATGCTTTTCAGTCTATCTTCAATCATGCACTCATTCAGCAGATTTATCAAGTCACACATTCCTTTCTGCATGAGTGATGGTCACATTTGATGTTTGTATTTCTTTTAAGGTTCCATGGAGTAGGCTTGGCCAAGATCCAGTCTTAGTATATTTGGATCGCATTTTCTTACTAGCTGAACCTGCAACTCAAGTTGAGAGATGTAGTGAGGATGCTGTCCAAGAAGCTAAAAAGAGCCGAATACAGGTAAGAACTCAGGAGGAAGAATTAGATAAAGTGTACTTGAATTTGGCTTGAAGACGATTTATTTGATGAAGCATACTTTTCTTCACTTTTGGCAACAGGAGATGGAATTGAAACTATGGGAGAAGGCACAACAGTTAAAGTCAGAAATGGTATGAGCTTGTCTTTTTATTTTTATTTTGTAGTGGACTTTTTTGAGTCCAGCCCATCTATCCACCCAAAGTTCTGCAAACTACCCAGTTTCTGTTCATGTCTGAAATGGAAACCCCTTAATATTTAATGGCAGAGTACTGGATAGAATAACCCATAAACAGAAAGCATTTTGCTTTGTCTAGATTTGCTAGAATGCGACCACGAGTGAGAAAGGGTAGAAAATGTTGAAGAGAAAGTAGGAGTGAATTTTCAGAAAACTGAATATATTATTATGAACATGTTAAAAGTTACATTGTACATTTGATTAGTATATTTATACTCAGTAGTCAGTTTGGTAACTTCAAGCTTTTGCTGTCTAATAGAGGGTACAGCTGTTCTAACTACGTAGCTGACTCACCTTAACTGTCATGACGACAAGTCATTAGCCGAGTTCACACATCACAAACACTCTACACTTGCACAGTACATACCGTACACCCACACTGAATATAATACACATCCCAATAAGTTTCATCAAAGGACTGCCTAAACTGCATCACTGCTACTAAACTTTAGCTTCCTTCTTTTGAAGCCTTTAAATCTTAACAATCAGAAACTGTTCCAAAGTTGAAGGACAAATCCCAGCTTCATCCTAAACCCAAGAAGAGATATTTCACACAAATATTGCCAACAAATTTGCCTTATAACTAAATGCTGATAATAGCATGTAAAGTCTATTCATTGATTTTAGAATAAAGCCATTTCATATATAATTTTCTTATACCTATGCATCCAATACATAAGTTTAGGGTGATTCATTCCAAGTTCCTCTTTGGATCCTTTTGTAAACATATGCATGCATGTTTCTGTATGAATAAGAATACCTTATATTAACTCATGTATCTTTTTCTTTAATCTTAAGAATAAATCATGGTTGGGATCCCTCATCAGCACCATCATTGGAAATTTGAAGCTTTCAATTTCCAATATTCACATCAGATATGAGGATGGTGAGAGGTAAAGGAGATTTTTGGAATGTTTTGTGAATGTAAATTAAATTTCGCTTAACTTTCTTTCTGTATCCTTCTCTAAACTGACATATTCTGTATTGTAGCAATCCAGGGCACCCATTTGCAGCTGGAGTTATGTTGGACAAACTCTCAGCTGTGACAGTTGATGATACTGGGAAAGAGACATTTATTACTGGAGGGGCACTAGATCGCATTCAAAAGGTTCTGATGTGATTTGGTGTGAATTGATATTGTCTAACAATGAAATTCTTTTGTACTGATTCAGATGCTTGTTAATTTGACTAAGTTTTAAAGTATATTTGGCATTGCAACAAAGGAAGGTTATCTTAAAAATTTTGTTCTTGGAAGTGTGTTTGCTTGAGAGTAAGAAGCTTATTTTGTTGATCATATTCTGCAACTCTATTCCCTTGTACTGTTTTCTTTCAATGTATCTTTTTACTTACCAGTGAAACATAATTGCTGGGAACAATAAGTAAGTCCATAATTGCTAAATGAAAATAATCTTATTGCACAGTCTATGATAAGTAATTACTTTTAGTCCGTCAAACAATTCTGTTGCTACTTGTTAGTGTTCTTTTGTTGTTAATATCTTTTTTCCTCATTGTTTTGCAGTCTGTTGAACTTGATCGACTTGCAGTTTATTTAGATTCAGATATTATACCATGGCATGTTAACAAAGCATGGGAAGATTTGCTTCCTTCAGAGTGGTTTCAGGTATGTATGGTGGATACTGGAGTGGATAGGGAGGATGGATTTATGTAGATCTGTTATTTGTTTCCTTAACTTTGAATTCTTTTTATGTTTTAATTTATATCATTTATTTAAGGAGTGAATGTGCTTGGTATCCTAGTTGGTTTGGTTATCATGACACGATGTTTGTGGTCATTGTTCATAGTCTTGATCCTAATCCTTTTGAATTATTATTTTGTTTGGGAGGTGGGGTTGGTGGAATGTTGATATTTATTTCCTTGTTAAAATTACTACAACTATAACTTTATCCCACTAGGTGAGGCACATTATTACATGGATCACATGACGTCATTGAGCTTGGTTAAAAACCAAAAAACCAAATTCTTAGGGTATTATTCTCCATGAGATCCCTTTTAATTATTTCACTGAATGTTTTTCTTGGTCTCCCTCTACCCCTTTTCACAGGCTAAGACCATGTGTTCTACTCTCCTCACTAGTGCCTCTAATGGTCCTTATTTGCACCTATCGAAACCACCTTATTTGATTCTTTGTTATCTTTTCATTGATAGTCACCTTGTACCTTGTAGTGACATTTATGATGCAACACTATATATCTGGACTTAACAGAACTGCTTAAAGAACCATATATAGGGACATTTTGCCCCTTTGACAAAATTATTCATCACACTCCATTGGAGGTGGCATGCAATTTTCTTTTGTTTTCGTCATGAATCATGATTTTATTAGTTTACCTCTTCTTTTCTTTTAGTTTCTCTTAGTAATTTTCTTGTAAAAATTTCAGATATTTAAATTTGGGACTAAAGATGGGAAGCCAGCTGATAATTTGTTAAGAAAGCACTCATATATTTTGCAACCAGTGACTGGGAAAGCAAAGTACTCTAAGCTGCTGTCAAGTGAAGTTACTGATAGCAAACAACCTTTACAGAATGCTGTGGTGAATTTGGATGATGTTACAATTAGCTTATCTAAGGTTGTTTTGACACTTTTTTTCTTTATCTTGTTTCCGTAGATTGTGATTATTTTAAGGGATAATCTTTACATTTTTGTCTTTGTAGGATGGATACAGTGATATCATGAAATTAGCAGACAACTTTGCTGCATTTAATCAACGTCTGAAGTATGCTCATTATCGTCCACTGGTTCCTGTAAAAACTGATTCCAGGTCTTGGTGGAAGTATGCTTACAGAGCTGTTTCTGACCAGATAAAGAAGGCAAGGTATTTGAACACATTCCAATTCTGTTCACAGCCTTATGCATTACTTGTCTATTGCCAGGTTAAATTTTATAAATACTAATTTACTTTTGATAGGGAGCGTAACTTGCAGAAGTAGCCCCAATTTAAGAGCCTAATTTACAATTAAATAAGACTAGTGACTGGTTTTTAACTGAAGCCCATGGGAAACACAATCAAATAACACATTAATAACTTATTAACTTTGGTATTAATCTGACAGCCCATGAGAAACCTAGGTATTAAAGTGAGAACATTGACAACCCATGAATCAATCACTGCTTGAAGCAAAAATGAGTTGCATAAAACAGAAAATAATGTAGAAAGTCAGAGTATAATGGTGACTCTGATATATCATTATTGAGGAAGAACAGTAGAATGAAGAGGCTCTGGTCACTTCGGTGATTGACCAGTCAAATCCTATATAATCAGAATTTAGAAACAGAATCACTAAAATAAGGAAATAAAATATTCAGATTGACTAAGATGATTGTTAAGTTTAATGTATTTTATAGGTGTAATTATTACTTTCTTTCTTTTTGAGACATACTTTTACTGATGTTGGTGGCTGTGTCAGGGATCAGACTGCTGTATCTCCTTTTCTGTCTTATCTTGTACTCTCTAAGCACATATATATATATGAATGTTTTGGAGCTAAGTGTATAACACACACTTTAGCTTTTCTCTCATATTCCATCAGTTTTCTCAACTTGGTATCAGAGCGGGTTCGACCCGCTCCGCCTGTCATCGTCCACCGCCGCTGTCCGCCGCAAGTGGTCACAGAGGCAAAAGCCTCTTCACATCTTCTCACGCGCTGCATCTTTGGGCTGCTACACCAGGCGTGCACTGTTAACGTACCGATCTGCAGCCACCGGAAAACGGCCACGCCACCAACAGTTCTTCGTTGACACCTTCTGGGTCTGTTTCAAAGCTCTCTTTGTTGTTTTCTGGTCTATTTGGAGAGTGGGTCTGTTTCTCTCTTCCTTTTGGGCTTTCTTTTTCATCTATTTCAGCAACATGTCCAGCTCTGGCCCTATTTTTTCCATTTCTGGAACTCCCACAATAACAGCAGAGAAACTTAATGGCAAAAACTACCTGTCTTGGTCTGCCTCTGTAGAGTTATGGTTTCTTGGGCAGGGATATCATGACCATTTGGAGAAGGATATTACTGAAATATCCTCTGAGAGTCAAGAACTGTGGAAAAAGCTTGATTTTCAACTGTGTGCTTTGCTGTGGCAGTCAGTAGAGCCCAACATTTTAGGAACCTTGAGAACTTTCAAAACTTGTCATTCCTTTTGGAAGAAAGCTCAAACTATATTTGCCAATGACATTCAACGTCTATATGATTCAGCTCACAAGTTAGCATCTCTCAAACAAACTGATGATGACATGGTCTCTTTCATTGCCCAAGCACAATCAGCAGCTGAGGAGCTGAAAATGTTTTTAGAAGCTGATTCTGTGGAAGAGATGAAAAAGAAACTTGATAAGTTGTGTATGGTGTTGATTCTGCGTGCCATGAACTCTAATTTTAATCATATTCGTGACCAGATTTTGACAGATCAAGAAATCCCTTCAATGGAGAACCTTGTAACGCGTCTTCTTCGTGTTCCAAGTTCGAAAAATAGTGCAAGTTTGGTTGAACCTACTGAATCTTCAGCAATGGTTTCTACCCGAGGAAGAGGAGGTCGTGGAAACCGTGGAGGCCGTGGTGGCAGGAGTGGTCGGCCCCAGTGCTCATATTGTAAAAGAATGGGTCATACTCAAGAGACTTGCTGCATCTCTCAAACAAACTGATGATGACATGGTCTCTTTCATTGCCCAAGCACAATCAGCAGCTGAGGAGCTGAAAATGTTTTTAGAAGCTGATTCTGTGGAAGAGATGAAAAAGAAACTTGATAAGTTGTGTATGGTGTTGATTCTGCGTGCCATGAACTCTAAATTTAATCATATTCGTGACCAGATTTTGACAGATCAAGAAAGCCCTTCAATGGAGAACCTTGTAACGCGTCTTCTTCGTGT